GTCCCCCACCCCCTCTCCCACCCGCCTGCCAGTCCTCACACGCTGCGCCTACCCGCCCCCCACGTGTCCCCACGTCTTCCCACCTGCCCTCACCCTTCGGTGGCTCAGCCCCTCGTTCCGCATCGCCCCTCTGCCTCCGGTGGGACTCGGCACCCAGGCAGGTGCTGCGCATGAAGGCTACAGAGGCCCGCCCCGTCCCACGCTGGCTGTCCCCGCCTGGTCCCTGTCCCCTGGCTCTCAGCTGTCAGGCGCTTTGGGTGGGGCTCGGAATACGGGAGGGCGCGTGCGCAGTAGGGACCGTGGGCGGGGCCGTCCCCTGCTCAGACCCCGCCCCCGCCCCGCCCCTGCCCGCCCAGACTGCGCAGGTGGCCGCAGGGGGCGCCAGGACTGGGAGGCTCGGTCCAGCCAGCGGGCTCCGGGAAGGGAAGGCGGGCTGGGGCTGTCAGCTGCGGGTGGGAGCCTGGGGGTGCAGACCCACCACCACACCCCCAGGGGGGCCGGCGAGCTTAGAGCAGGAAAGGCTGTGATGGGGACAAGGCCTGCCTGGGGGTACTCGGGCCTGGGGCTCAGGTGGGAGGGGCCCGGCCTATCAGTGGCATCCCAGTGATCAGGGCTGGGAGAGGGCTGAGGGGTTGGCAGTGAGCCTGCGTGGGTCAACCCAGGGACTACAGCATTGGGGGTGAGTGGGCACATGTCCTGCTCGGCACCGGCCCCTGTGTTACCTGCAGCAGGCTCCTCCCTAGGCTTGTGACATGGAACCCCTGAGGCCTCCCCAGTATGGAATGGGGTGGGGGGCGGTTAAGAGGCTGGGGGAGGGGAGCAGACATCCACTCCTTACATCCAGGAAGGGGCTGGGAGGGACCAAGATGGATGGGAGTACCTGGGGACCCCAGGTCTGGGCCAAGCAAGGCTGGGGGAGGTGGGCAGAACAGGACAGGTGTGGGCGCGCGGGAGGCAGGGGTGCGGATCAGACTCCTGGACGCCCAGGTGGCCTCACAGGAGGGGCCTGCTCCTTGCGGGGAGGGGAGCGAAAGGCAGAGCTAGGGCACCTCCTCACGCCCCTCAAGGTCTGGGTGTTTCCAGCCCTGAGTTCACTGGCCATGTACCCTAAGAGGTCCCCTGAGCGGCCTCGGAGCCACCAGCTCTGGCCCTGCCCAGGGTGCGGGGGCACCAAGCCCAGCTGTGTGCTGGGCATCCGCTGCCCTCGGTGAAGGAGCCCACTTTCCAGAAGGGCCTGAGGCCTGGGAGGGCCAAGTGGACAAGGCCTCACGGTGCCCTGGAGGGAGGTCCGAGGCAGCAGGGCCAAACCAGGGTGGGAGTGACCCCCTTACACAGCAGATGGGAAAACGGGGGCTCTGATGTGGGGCCACGGGGGCCTGGACCTGTGCCCAGCAGGAGTCCAGCACAGTGTCACCCTCCTGGGGCTGTCTCTGGGATGCTCGGCCCCTATGGCTGGGTGGAGAGCCGACCTTGGGGACCCAAAGGGCAGGCCGGGGTCATGCTGCCACCAGCCCCTCCCTGCACAGCCCCCCCAGGGAAAGTGTGTCAGTGGTCCTGGGCCAGCACTTCTTCAACCACACGACGGACGTGACACAGGCGTTCGGCATTGAGAAGTACATCCCGTACCCCCTGTATTCAGTGTTCAACCCCAGTGACCATGACCTTGGTGAGGCTCAGGACACGCTGGGGTGCAGCAGGGCTGGGAGTGGGTGTTCCGTGCACCTCGGGCCAGAACCAGGAGAAGGGCAGGGGGTAGGCACCAGGAGGATCCTGGGGAGTCCTCAGACACGGGAGAGGGTGGGAGGGAGGTATGGGGTTCAGGGCAGGGCAGCAAGGATGCCTGGTCTGGCAGAGCAGCCTCGGCCGTTGGAGGAAGCCTTGGACGGCCACTCCTGCTCCCTCCTGGGTCTCCCCAGCCACAGTCCCTCTGCCCACAGGGGCTGCACCCTGGTGTAACTCAGTGGCCACCCTCTATCCATCATGGACCCCCACGCCCCAGGCTGACCTCTGGCCTCTCTGCCGCCAGTCCTGATCCGGCTGAAGAAGAAAGGAGACCGCTGTGCCCTCCGCTCCCAGTTCGTCCAGCCCATCTGCCTGCCTGAGCCAAACAGCCCCTTCCCATCCGGACACAAGTGCCAGATTGCGGGCTGGGGCCACCAGGACGAGAGTGAGTGGGGGCGGGGCAGCCTGCCAGCGGGGTGGCCAGAGGATTTGTGGCACATGAGCCTTGCCCACCCTGACGGCGCGTGTGGTGTCCGCAGACATGAGTGGCTACTCCAGCTCCCTGCGGGAGGCGCTGGTGCCCCTGGTGGCTGACCACAAGTGTAGCAGCCCTGAGGTGTACGGGGCCGACATCAGCCCCAACATGCTGTGTGCTGGCTACTTCGACTGCAAGTCCGATGCCTGCCAGGTGAGCCCGCCCCGGGGAAGGAGCTATGACCCACAGGGCCAGCAGGGGCCAGGGCAGAGAGCGCACCTCCAGCTACCGCTGGAAGGCCCCAGAGTGGGGCACAGATGCCCTCCGCCCATGGATGGGAAGATTGAAGCCCAGGGAGGGGCCAGGGCACAAAGCCTGGCATGTCCCAGCCGTCCAGTCAAGGGCAGAGCTGTCCCTATGAGCCCAAAGGCTAACAGCTTTCACCCAGGGTTCTCCCAGCGGGCTCCATCGTCCGCCAGTCCCAGCAGCTCGTGCTCAGCCAGGCTCCACCGGCAGGGTCTTGTTTAGGCAGCTTGTCAACTCCAAGATGGGGGAGCTGCTTTCCTCCCCATTTTACACATGGGGGTCCCGAGACCCACAGAGGTCCAATCGCTCTTTCCAGGTCACATAACAGATGTGGCAGGAGAGTGGGAGTGGGGGCCTCCACGCTGGGCCACATGGTACAACGCGTGCCCTTGGGGAAAGTCAAGGACGGCTTCATGGAGGAGGGGGCGTTTGCACTTGTCCTGAGGGGTGAATAGGAGTTCGCTGAGAGGCGAGGAGGGCATTTCAAGTGGGGGGTGGGGGGAGAGGATAGCATGTGCCAGAACACAGGGGCCACCTCGTCCACACGGGGCCTTTGCTGGTTGGTGGTGGGGGGAGCCAGCTACAGGAGCACGTTGCTGACCGTGGAGGTGAGAGGGGCCCTGGCAGGGCTTTAAGAAGGAGACTGACTGGCCAGGCCCTGTCACAGCAGCCGGAATGAGAGGACTTCCGGTCTGTGAGGTTTGGGGAAAGTGGGACACTCCCTTACTTGGAAATAATGCCTTTGCCATCTGTCCCCGAGCTGTCAGGGTGCCGTCTGAGGGCCCTGCGAGTCCTGCCTCACAGGGGAGCGTCTGAGATGCCTTTGGGGCCGTTCTTGGGTTGGATAAGGGAAGCCTGGGAGGGATGGGGTTGTGGGCTGTTTCTGGGGTGCTGAGGAGCTGGGCCCTGGGTCTCCCCAAGCCAGCTCCTGGCTCTGACTGGCAGCTCTGCCACAGGGGGACTCAGGCGGGCCTCTGGCCTGCGAGAAGAACGGCGTGGCCTACCTGTACGGCATCATCAGCTGGGGCGACGGCTGCGGGCGGCTCAACAAGCCCGGCGTCTACACCCGCGTGGCCAACTATGTGAACTGGATCAATGACCGGATTCGGCCCCCAAAGCGGCCTGTGCCTCCCTCCTGAGACCATCCTGGGGCACGCTGCCTCCCAGCCATTCCCTGCCTGCTAGCAATAAAGATGTTCCCAGGAACGCGGCCCACCCTGCCTGTCCTGCTGCCCCCAGCCCAGCCTTCCCTCCCAGGCCACAACCCGGGCCGCGTACCCGCTGAGCACTGTGTCGTGTCAGTCCCACCATCCCCCACGCCTGATGTGAGCCGTCCCTGACCCTTCGCACCTGAGTTTGAGTGTGGATCTGTTAAAGTGGTGATTCACCTGTATAGATGGTCTAGTGTCAAGCCAACCTTGCCGTCCTGAGTGAGCCATGCTGAGTCCAAGCGTGAGCCCTGTGTCTCCCATCTGCCCCCCAGATTTATTCCCCACCTTGCACTCTGCCCCAAGAGGCTGCTCTCAGATCTCGAGTTTCCCTGGGCCGTTGGGGACCCCCAGCAGGAGGTCAGAGGAGGAGGAGAGTGAAAGTGGGTATTGATTGCCCCGGCTCCCTCCTTTTGGGGTCATCTCAGTGTCACAGGTTGAACTGTGTCCTCCTAAAGTCCATATGTTGGCGTCCTGACCCCCGGGACCTCAGAAGTGACCTTATTTGGAGGAAAAGTCTTTACAGAAGTGATCAGGTTAGGATAAGGTCACTAGAGTGGCCCTGATCCAATGTGGCTGTGTCCTTACAAGAAGGGAAACCTGGGCACAGATACACAGAGAGGGAAGACACTCTGACGTGTCACCAGGAACAAGCCAAGGACAGGCCTGGAGCAGCCTCTCCCTCCAGCCTCAGAAGGGACAGCCCTGCGGACCCCGCGACCTTGGACCTCTGGTCTCCAGGTCAGTTTCTGTTGTTTAAGCCCCCAGTCCACGGTGCTTTATTGCAGCCCGAGCCAACCAATACACCCAGATCCCTTAACTGAAGGTCGCTGATCCTCCCGAGATGTAGATGCCTGGGCATTTCCAGTGACCTCGCCCTCTCCTTGCCTACTCCTGCTCTCTAACTAGCCCAGGGCTGCCGATTTACCCCTGGTGGTTCCCCTCCACCTTTGTAAATAAACCCTCCTCGATTTGTCCTAATGTCATGTCAGCCTGTTGGGACCCTGGGTATTGACGCATGCTGTATTTTTTCATATGCTTTTTAAGATATACTTATATTTCATTTAGGATTTCACATGGATGTTTCTGAGTGAGCTTGGCCTATAATTTTCCTTTCGTATGCCTTTTGAGTGGCTGGCCTCAAGGCTATGGCAACCTCATAGAATGAGTTCAAGCGCATCTCTCACGATTCTCCAGAAGACTGTATGAAGCGGGAACAGTTTAGTCTTTGTTTGGTACAAGTCCCTATAAAATTCCCTGGGCCTACTGTTTTTTTTTACAGGGTGATATTTAGCTACTGAGTCAGTATCTCAATAGTTAAGGGGTAGTTGAGAATCCTGTTTCTTCTTGAGCCAGCTATAGGAAGTCACACTTTTAGGAATTTATCTGTCTAAATTGTCACATTTATTGCCCTAGAGTTATTCATGGTGTTCTTCGGTCATTTCATCTCAGATGTATCAGTGGTGATTTTCTGCTGGCATTTTGGGGGGCATTCCACCGTCTTCTCGCTGCCGTTGCCCCTGCTGAGAAGTCTGCTGTAAATCTAATTGCTGTTCTTTTGTAAATAGCTTTTTCCTCTGGTGGCTTTTTTGATGTCTTTGCCTTTGATGTGCTGTGTGCTGCCGCCATGGCGTAGATGTGGCTTTCTCCCCTTTGTCTTTTCCTGCTTGCTGTGTGTTGGATTTCTTGCTCAGCCTGGATGTTTGCTGGCGCCCTTCCGCATGGTGACGCAGGGACCTAGGCTCCTTCGACTTAGAGCTCTCAATGTCCCATGAAGCTTGGGGGTCCAGTACCAGTCACTCCATGTCAGGATGCTTTTTCTGTGTCACAAATGGCCTCCAACCTCAGTGATGAAAAGCAGCAGCCAAGTTGTGTTTAGCTCACAACGCTCTGGGTTGGCAACGTGGGCTGGGCTCAGCAGGGTGGTTGCTGTTGGCTGGCCGGCTGCTTCACATATTGGGGCCATCAGTCGGTCTTAGGCTGTTCAGCTCTTGGGGGCCGACTGGCTGTTGGCCGGGGCCATGTGGTGACCAGGCCACATGTCTTTCATCATCCAGCAAGCTGCCTGGGCTTGTTCCCGTGGCGGAGGCTGGACTACGAAAGAAAGAGCCGGTAGTGGCATTTCCACAGCGGCTCATTTGTCCAAGAGAGACGGCTCCAGGCAGGCGAGAAAGACTCCATCTTTTAGTGGCAGGAGGTGTTCAGTCATATTTCAAGGGGTGTGGGTACAGGGACAGAAATATTTGCAGCCATTTTTCCAAACAAACAACCACACTCTCTGTACCACAGCTCTTGCCACCATCACAGAATACCGCAGGCTGGGGCTTAGATGACAGACATTTGTTTAGCACAGTTCCAGAGGTCGGAAACCAGAGGCTGGGTCCAGGGGAGAGCTCTCTTCCAGGTGTGCAGACGGCCTCCTTCTTGCTGTGTCCTCATGTGTCTCTTTTGATAAGGACACTAATCCCACCATGGGGCCTCCACTCTCATGGCCTGATCACCTCCCAAAGGCCCCACCTCCTAACACCATCACACTGGGGGTTAGGCTTCAACACATGAATTTGGAGGGTCGCAAGCATTGGCTCCATAGCAGGAACTGAGGCGCGGAGGCCAGGAGCCAACCCAGCGTCGGAGCAGGAGCCAGGCAGGCAGCTCTGCCACCTTTCAGCAGCCCAGGCAGCCGTGGGGGGTGGTGGGGGGGTGGGGAGCTGTCTGTCCCTCTGCAGCCTGTATTGTGTGGGGCCAGTGCAGGAGCAGGTGCAGCTGCCAGGCGTGACAGGAGCCTGGGTCATGGCCAGCCCTCAGGAATGCAGCAGGCACTGTCCCTCCCAGCAGGGAGGACCAAGTGCCAGGCGCCTGGGGGAGTGGGTGTATCTGTGGCCACAGCCCCCAGCTCCACGCCGACTGTCCCGCGCCAGGCCGTGGGGGTCTGAGATGTGTGAGGAGCATGAATGGGGCTCTGTGGTTGGGCAACTGCTCAGGAAGGCGGCTGGTGGCTGCACAGGTGATGTGGGGTGTGTGTGTGTGTGAGGGGGGGGCTCAGGAGACACCGAGCTGCTTCCTGGCCCTGGTGTGACCCTGCTCTGCATTAGGTCCTGGCAAGACATCCCCAGGGCATCAGAGCGAAGCTTGTGGCCCACCAGGGGCAGTGGGGAGGGGCACCAGAGGGCACGGACCGGGCTCTCTGCACCCAGCACAGTGGCTGCTGAGCTGAGGCTCCAGCCCAGGCTCAGCTGACATGGGCCGGTCCTGGCTGCGAGAGCTGACACCGGTGGCTCTAAGAGTCACTTCCCTCCTCTGAGTGGCAGGAGCCAGCCCACGGGGCCTGGATGGCGTGAAGACTCACACCCGAGCCTCAGGAGGGGCGGCCTTCCCACCCCGGATCCAGGTTAACAGGACACTTTCTCTCTTCCCTCTTATCCCCACAAGAATGGAAGTCCCCGAGGAAGGGGCCTTGACTAGGGCGCATTGCTTCTCATTGCTTTTCCAGGGTGCTGCCCCCACCTCTACACATCCCCTTATCTTGTCGGATGCTCCCGGAAGCACTGGAGCTGGAGGCTGTCTTCGGTGTAGCCCTACCAGGTCCCACAAGCCACCTGGGCTCTGGGAGAATGGGACGTCTGAGCTGGAGCTACAGGGTGGAGAAGGGGCAATGCAGATGCTTCGAGCACCTGCACCCCAGCTGGGCGGAGACTCCTGGTGGCCTTTACAGAGCAGTACATCTCCGGCGGCCACGGGCGCACAGTGGGCTCTGACCACTTCAGCCGGGCAGTGTTCAGCCAAGATGGAGGAGACCAGACCCGGAAACCGGGGCACTGTGTGCACGGTGGTCCTGGTCCCACCGCCACTCAGCAGCAACCTGCACTGGGGGCCGTGCTGCAGGGGACACGAAGGGACCCTGCTTGGGGAGTGGGGACAGCCTGGGGGTGGGGGGAGAAGAGGGGGCTGAAAGACTGGGGGCGGGGCAATGTCCTGGCCAGTATCCTGGCCAGAGTGGTCCCACAGTCAGTCAGTTGTCAGGGGCGTCTGGTGGCAGCCCTGGGGTGGTGGGAGGGGCAGGTGCCAGAGGGTAAAGTCAGGGTGGTGAAGACAAACTTTAAAATTGGGAAACGGACACGCGGGTGTCCCCTTTTTGTTGGGTTGTTTGCTTTTGGAAGACAAGAAGCCCCCGGCGCCGGCGCCGGGCTGAGCGGTGCCTGAGCCCCAGACTGCGCCCTGTCCTGGAGGGAGGCGCCCATCACCTCGGCGGCGGGGCGGAGGGGCCGCGGGCGGGAAGGGTGCGCACCTCGGCGGGACGCCCCGCCCGCCGCCCGCCCGCCCGCGGCCCGCCCTTGCTGGCGCAGCCCAGGGCCCTCCCGAAGCTATTTTGAAAGTGACCCTGGGCTGGGGCGGCCGCGGGCGGCGGGCAGAGGCGCGGCGGGCGCGCGGGAACCATGACAGAAGATGACCGAGGCGGCGCTGGTGGAGGGCCAGGTCAAGCTGCGGGACGGCAAGAAGGTGGGGGCGCGCGGCGGGCGCGGGGCGGGCGCGGGGCGCGGCCGGCCGCTCACGCCCCCTCTGTCCCCGCAGTGGAAGAGCAGGTGGCTGGTGCTGCGCAAGCCGTCGCCGGTGGCAGGTGA